TTTACCAAAGCAAATGCAGATAATCCAGGGAATATATCTTGTGTGTGTCCCGGGGGGTTCAATTACGGAAAAATGACACGATCAGACATGATGGATAACTGGCTGCAACTAAATGTGTTTGGAGTGCAACTTCACAAACAGTAATGCAGTGAAATGCGGGAATGTGTAATTGCCTTTGTGTATAAATGTGTCTCAATGTGCATATACTGTATATGGATATACGTGAGAGCTGTTTTCGGACTCAAAATTACCAAATTACTCCCAGTCTTTATTTCTTTTACTGTCACTAAGCATTAGTCCATATTTCCATCTCTACAGCATTACCTTGATTGAAAAATGGTAATGAAGAGAGCTAATATCCTGCGGTCAATAAAACAACCTAATAAAGTCAGTAGACGTCCATCTATGCGCCGCGGCACCAGACAGCTGAAGTTTATTATCGGACAGATGACTACATTACCTTCTCAAAACAAGGTAAAGGTCTTTTTATGAGAATGGTGACTAGTATCTCAAAAAGGATTATTAGGGATAATTGTTTGTTAGCAAGCATCACTGTTGCCCATACTTGATCAAGGTTGTTATTCTGCAGTCATATTTATCATTGTCCATGAACTTTTGTGTGTGAAATGCAGTCATTTCTATAGGAATCCACGCAGCTGGGATTTTCCCATGCAAATGTCTCTGTACTGACCAACAGAAAGCTGTTTTGTTTGAAACTGACTTCTGTGTGAGTAATGCTTCATCGCTACAATATTGACAAAAGACAATACAACTTTTTTTTGCAAAAACCACCTAGTTGCCACAATGCCCTGTTAAACACAAAGCAGCACCTAACCACAATACACTAGCAACCACTTGCAGCTCTAGCAACATGCTAAAAAACACTCAGAAACACAGGCTATGCTCAAAAAAACAACGAAGACCCTGCTGTCTATTTAAACTAAACACCTTTGCTGGTGAGTTTTGCACAGGTAAACACCACATCATTTTAATTAAAAATCAAGTTAGTGGCATGCTGATAACATTACTGATTTCATTCTTTTTAAATTTGAATGCGTTTAATTATGTGCAGTGCAGTAGGTCAGTACAGTCAGAAAGATGTGTCTGCACATGGAATATCCTGTGGAGACACCATATGATGCATGTCTTCAATAACAGAACATTTCTAATCAGATGGAAAGGAACGCTTATGGTTTTTGAATCAAAGCCCCTCTTTTATTACTTCATCTGTTTCCTCTGGATACGGTTGGTATTGGGTTTCTTGGTTGTAATGCCACATTTGATTTAATCTCGTTTTTCTTTTACTCACACCCCTCCCTTTATTTCAGGTTGTTGTTTTTTTTGACTGTTTAACAACTCTTCCCACAGGAAAGAAAAATCACGAATGGGATCTTGAACATCTCAGTTGTTTCTCCTAGACGGCAATGAGATTACATGGACAGCAAATGAAGACTGAACATCTACTCAAAATTCTTCTCCCAAGAACCCAAGAAGAAAGTCATTTGTGAGTTTGAAAAATGTCTCAAACTGTGCTCAGATATTTCAAGATGCCCACATGATTTTCACCCTGAGCTTCACAAAAGTTATCCTGTGTTTTCAGATTTCATTGTCCTTGCCATCATGATGTTTGGTAACATAGCCACATACTGGTCATAAAATACAAATACTGACAAGTCTTCTAACTTTTCGATTATTTGGCATGCCATTGTGATCTTAAGCTCATTCTTTTTCCTTCATGCAAAGTTAAAAAATACCGCAATATTATCTATATATTGTTTCTTATTTGTAAAAATGTCTACGACTATTCCAGTTATTTGTGATTAGTGGATGATTTTTTTCCCACCAATAATGTATTATTAATAATTGTTAATTATTTTATATAATTTACACTATATATATTTATGTAACAATTGAATAATAATTCATTTCATAATTAAATGATTTAATACATATTTTTATGCACTCACAATGAGCAATTTGTGACTGATAAAATATTTTAGAGGAGAGAATAACTAGAAAATATTGAAATTTCCATTGTTTCCAGACCTCACAATCAAAATTTAAATTTCATTACATTTTCTCTGTAGAAACACTGTACCAAAATCTGAAATCAGGGATTTCAATATGAATTCATTACTCATCAAATTCCTCCATGACCAAATAATCTGAGCTGCTATCAAACTTCATTTTATATATCTATACTCTTACTGTGTCAACAATTGTCTCACTTGTGTCTTTTTCTATTTCTTCTAAGGAACTTTTGGAGAAACATCTGAGACAATCTTGATACTTGAATGAAACATAGGCTAACTGAGAACTCAATTAATTCTCATGAGGTGTAAAACAACCAGCCGATAAACTCATGTTGAGTGAGTGTCCTCGAGCACTTCATTCCCACAGAATGCAGGATAGCGTCCAGATCCTCTTATATGGAGGAGAAATCCAGCTGCACCTCCAAAATATTTGATGGGCTCAGAAGAGCCTGTGATCATGTGACTCTCTGAGCGCTCAAGCTCTGAAATAATAAAGCATGGGTTAAACAAAGACAAGTGCTAGCAGATGTGTGTGAGCACTAGGCTCCGGATCAGTCGACAGACACATAAAGCTGCCCGATTCACTTCTTGCGGTAAAACATTTGTCATTCACTCAGAGCCAATAAGCTTTTGGCAAGTATCTTTATTATTTCTTACCACGTTGCTGCCGCACAAAGAAACACACAACTGAAAACATCATGTAGCTCGCAGGAAGGAAGAATCACAAATGAGATCTTTTCAATATCTCCGTTATTTCTCATAAACGGATATGAGATTACATGAAGATCAAATGGAGACTTTTACTTAAAGGAATAGAAAAGAAAAATCATTGCAATCATTTTTATTTCAACTAAGAAATTTTAGCAGAAAGTTGAAATTGGAATAGCATATTAGCATGCTAATCTTTCTGCCATATTAAGATGTAGCTGAAACAATAAGATTGCTAGTATGCTATTGTGAATTCAAATGAAACATAATTACAGCTGGCACTGCCCTCTAATGGTGTGAGACTCTCAGTATGACAGGCTCAGAGCTCATTTAGCATGTTTCATAATGAGCAGCTGCTGCCGGTCTGTGTCTGCGGGGAGTAGAGGGGTCACGGATACCTGCTTCCTGCGGTCCCCAGCAGATGGCCCTTGCTTTCTGGCACTGGAGTCGCAGACGCCACCGGTTCCATTCAGATCCCCTGGGCCAAATTAGAGGCCATTAATGGAGTTACTGAGAATGGCACAATCGGGTTGATAGGCAGCTCCAGCTGATCTGAGACCTGTCCTCTCACAGCTTCCTCTCGTGTCGGAGAGTTTAGCACAGCATGTTGTACAATTCTGTGAAAGACTAACACAACACACCACCTGATAAACACGCTTAATGAGGGAATCGGCAGTGTGTTTTGTGGGATCAAATGGGAAAGAATCCATTGCAACCTCTGAAAAAGAGGTTGAATGTTGTTTTGTTTTTGTTTGTGTTTACAAACATTAGTCTCACTTCAGAGCATTGGTGGAGAGGGGGGAGGGGGGTTCCACTTCAGTCCGTTCACAATCAAGCATGACCCTCAAGCGCGGGGCTCGCTATCCATATAAAAATTTACATATGAAGTATATTTAACAGAAATGAGCTTCATTTCTTTATGATATAAATAATAATATATATTAAATATTTTATCCTGTGAAAACCCTTGTATTACAGTTCAAAATATGTATATAGTACATATTTAAAGTAAACTACTAAAATTTAATGGGGTCATAGGGGTCAATTTTTCCTTTCTCTTTGGAGTGTTACAAGCTCTTCAATGCCAACGCAAGGGCATGCACAGACCGGTCAGAGCGCGGTAGCATCCAACATGTTTCAAAACCTCATTGAATTCAGGAGACCTGCCTCAGCAATGGTGGGACCTCCATCACAAGAGTCTGTCCAGATACCAGTGCAAGTACAATCCCAGAGAACCAACTACGCATCTATGCCCCTTCTCAAGATTTCTTTATTTTTGTATTTATTGTAGTATGTTTATTTTCTTCTATTTCTTTCAATTTTATTTATTTTAGAATTTGTCTTTTTTTTAATTCAATTTATTTTGTCTAATTTATTGTCTTTTACTACTTTATTATTTTAATTTTATGTATGAACAGTGTTTTAATATTTATTCATATTTGTTTGTGGACCACAATTTCTTTTCAGATGACTGAGGATTCATTTGTTTTGGTGTATTCGCCTTCACCTGTTCTTAACACGCCTATTGTGAAGACTAATGAAGCTATGGTTGAAATTCATTGCATCTACCCGAGGTAAACCTTTTAAACTAACATGGTAACATGACAACCAGGTTTTAGTTTATACTTCAACATGGCATTTTAGTGCCATGTTAAAATGCAAAACAAATGTAAGATTTTGAGAAAAGAAGTCATAAAGTTTTGGGACTCGGCTCATAATAGGCCTTTTATAAGAATAAAGTGAACGTTTTGGGAATTCCAAATCATGTTTTTCCCTTTCAAATATTTATTTTATATTACTTTACATTAATGTACTTTTTTTTTAATATATCAATATTTACATCTTAAGTCATAGCATTGTAAGAATATTCGATTGGCACTAAAAAGCTGTCAATCTTACTTCAGTTCTCCACATGCTGTATGTGGTTTCTTCTAACTTTTTCAGGAAACACAATGCAAGTAGTAATGCATTGAATCCCACCTGGTTTCCCTATGCTACAGTGAGAGCTGGCGAAGAACATCTGCACTTCTCCCTAAAAACTCATGACTGGTAAGGAGTCTTTTAGTGTTCTTGTGTTGAAATTGTTGATCTAACGGTCTTAACCTGTCCTACAGATGACGGAGGTATGAGCGATCATCTAATGCCTACTTTCTGGGAGATTTCATAAACCTGGAAGCCTCAGTGGTCCGTGCTAATCACGTTCCTCTGCGGGTGTTTGTGGAAAGCTGTGCAGCTACTTTGGGCCCCAGTGGGGAAGCTGCCACCACACGTTCATCGAGAACAGCGGGTGAGCGACTTTTCCAGACAGACCTTTTGAGCACTTTACTATTGTGCCATTGTTGAGTTAAGCTGTTAACTACAATCTTGAGATGCATGATGGATGCCAAGCTGACAGAGTCCAGGTCCAGGTTCATGTCCAGGATACAGGATGACAAGTTACAATTTCAGATAGAAGCATTCAGATTTGAGCAAGATTCCAGCGGAATGGTGAGTCCATTAAGGCCCCAATATACTTCCAAGAAACAAAATCAGACCAAAACGAATCTGAAGCCGCTTTCCAAAAGCAAACTTTCTGTAAAAGTTTGCTCTGTCTGGTACACATTCAAACTACCATTAGCGATTACTGTTGATCTGTAGCAATTACATAATAGGTACTGGGGCTCCGCCACCTTTGACATGGACATCTTGTCTGATTTGTTTCTTCTGTTCAGTCCATCAAGATCGGACACGTGCAAAAACATTAAAGGATCTCTTCAATGTGTTCTAGTAAAAATTGAAGCTGCAATTTTAATTGAAAGCAACACTTACAATGTATATTACTATAAAGCTGCTTGCTTTAAAATAATCTAGTGAATAAAGTGCCTTATAAATAAACATAACATGATTAGAGTGCTGAATTGCCAAGCTGGCGCAAACATTTCCACATCACTACTATCAGATGCTTTCTTAACTGCTGTTTTTATTTCGTTATTAAGAGGAAAGTGCTTAAGACATTTACATATTCAATTAAAGGGGTTGTTTATGCTACGACTATATTGCTGCTCAGGTATTTCAAACGTATCTCTAAGTTAAGAATGAAAACTAACTTTGCTGTGAGTATATTGGGGCCTTTACTGTACAGTTTGTTCCATTTACACTTGATCCAGATCAGCCATCTGTTAATCTGAATTAACCGTTTCCACCCAGATCTACATCACTTGTCATTTGAAGGCTACTACCACATCCAGTCCCACTGATACAATGAACAAGGCCTGCTCATTTGTTAAAGTAACAAACAGGTATGGGTGAAGTAATGTTGGAAGCAAGTTTAGAAGTCTCGGTTCAACATTCAGTGATTTGAATTAGATTTTTTTTTTTCACACAGCTGGACTGCTGTGAATGGAGACAATCAGGTGTGTGGCTGTTGTGAGATCAGCTGCGTCATGAGGAAGGGCAGAAGTCTGGATACTGACGGTATTGTTCCACACTTTACTCCATCCAAATGTGTTTGGAAATTTGTAAACTACTGCTGTGCAACTTGAGAATGCAGTTTCCATCCTTTTTGCATGGGTTTTATTTTATTTATTTATTTTTTTTAGATTCCACGTTGGAAGATGAGGCTACTATTGGACCGATTTTTATCCATGAACGGCTACCAATGGAAGATGAGCATTTATTGCAAATTCAAGAGTCTTCTCAGGTGTCATCACAACATGCAGGTGACCGTATTGCCTTGACAAATATGATGCATTTAGTGTACAGTGTCCCCAAAATGTACACTCCCATTCAAAAGTTTGGGGTTGATATGATTTAAATTTAATGAATTTTTTCGATTCTCATCCTCACCCTGGCTGCATTTATTGAATCACAAATATTTTGTCATTTAAACATAGGCGGAGGGTGGACCAACTCCAGGGTAAGGCTAAAAGCAGCCAAATCTATTAACTACAAACATCATAAACTCATCTTTTTAGGCAAGAACCAGACATGGGTGTCATGTAGGCTAATAAAATGTTTAATAGGACTGAATTTGTATTTAATGTGATTACAATTTAATAAAAAAACATTAGAAATTGGTTTATAAAACGTTTCCTTTCCAAGGTTATTCAAACAGTGAATAAATTAGTATACAGAAAGTGACATTATCACTAACTTTGATCTATCGTGAGTTTAAGCACTCTCAAAAAAAAAAAAAATCACTTAAGCTGTCTACGTTGTAGGCTACATAGTCTACATACATCTGCGCGTCCGGAATTCAGTTAGCGAACGCACGCACTCAAAACTGATGAGTTTCAGCAATGACTCATCTCAACGCCTCTGATTGGCCATTGCATTCCTAAGCTCAACGGAATAGTGTGTGATTGGTTATAATGCGCAACACCGTAAAAACGCCTAAAATGAAACAAGATGCACCATGAGCAGATCTTAATTTAATGCCGCAATCGACACTTTCTATTTATTTTCATTTTGTTAGCAGCAGTCGTAATAGATTTAATTTGTTTGTGCAGGGGCATTTTTGCCCCAACTCGCTGTGGCCAGGGGAAGAGCCTTACACAAGCTCCGCCTATGCATTTAAAACGGGTTTCTATTTTTAAAAATTGGAAATGTATTTTCCTATTTTAAATAAATGTTACATTTATTCCTGTGATGCAAAGCTACGTTTTCAGCATCATTACTCCAGTGATCAGTGTCACATGATTCTTCAGAAATCATTCTAATATGCTGATTGTAAAAAAAAAAAAAAAAAGTTAAACACTTGTGCTGCTTTTTGTGTGAGGAAACATTAGTTTTTTTCAGGATTCTTTCAATAGCATGTTTAAAACGACACCAAAAAAAATACAAATATTAATAATATTACAAATGTCTTTACTGACACTTTTGATTTAATGTGTACTTGCTGAATTTCTTTTAGGAAAATTACTGACCCCGAACTTGTGAAAGGTACTGTACTTGACTATTTAAAAAAGCATGTTATCTAGAAAGAATGTTAAAAACATTAAGATGGCACTTAAAGTTCAAAGAAGTTCAGCTTTTAATTTAATGTGTCCTTACTGAATAAAAGTATTTATTTCTAAAATCTTACAAACCCTAAACTCTCATGGTAGTGTTTTTGCTTGAATTTAGACTAGTCTTGCGAGTTTTATAATTGTCAAACGTCCTGGAACATGTTATAGTGAACTATTGCTACTTTAATCATGGATGAAAAATCACCTCGAGACCACTTGGTAGAAAATAATTGAAAAAGTGTTAGCCACATTAAGAGTGACTTAAGAGTCCAAATACTTTTTGGGTCCACGCTGTATATACAATGATGTAGGTCTTTGTCATAACCCTTACTTTTCACCTTTTATTTTTTATTTTTTTTATTTAGAGTTCTCCATCGAATTGATGCTCATGACTGGTTTGGTATTTGCAATTGGATTTTTGTGTGTCATTATCCTTGGAACACTGTTTTACCAAAGGCGGCAGAAACGGCTTGCGTTGATTTGTGAATGACAATAAAAGCCGTTTTATCTAATGGGTGTGTTTGTTTCTTTGGTCTGGTGTTGCCCGCAGTTAGTTGGTTAAAGCCCATTAGCTTCTTGTTTCTGTTCAAGGGGTCCCATTTGTAGTAAATGACCCATCAACTTTTAAAAGGGTTGATGCAGAACTCTTTGCCGGTCTGGAGCATGGTAACAATTTGCCGTTTTTCAATGTTTCGCTGTAAAAGCTACACAAATGCACTGGTGTATGTGCCCGAGTATGCTTGTATACTTTGGAGAGAACAAAATTCAATCCAAATGAATTGGAGTGCTAAACCACCTTTTAATAAGAAAACAATCATTTTAAATAGAAATATTTTTTTAACAATGAAATCATTTTCTGTTTTAACTGTATTTTTGATCAAATAAATGCAGCCTTGGTGCGCATAAGAGACTTCTTTCAAAAACATTTATAAATCCCAGATGGTACATCCTAAATTGGTTATATAAACCTTTGTTTGTCCTCTGAATAAAGGATTTGATATCGCCACTAAAATTTATATTTTTGTTCCAAGCTTTGTTATATTTTACATTCGAGATCATGGAGCAGTGAGACTAATACACAGCCACTTGCATTCAAATCCAATTTTATATTTTGGTGATTGAGTTTTATGGTCCATGTCTTGCATTTCAAATGGACTGCATCTATGCACGGGGCTCATGGGAACAGGAAGACAAACAGACATAATTAAAATGCCCATAAAAGCAATAGGAAGCTTTATTAATATGAAGTGGGACATAGAAGTATAATGGTGTCTTTGTAGCCGGCTGATGTCGTGTTGTTTTTGTGTGTTTTACTAACACATCCATTGACTCGCAGTGACCCAGTAATGAGTAATAAACCACATGTTTTATGGTGCGGCAGTTCAACACGATCTCATGAAAGTGCGTATAAATAGTACACCAAATAAAAACGAAAACTCGTGGTATTGATACGCAAAAATGGACTTCGGCGTGCATATGCTACGTGAAGGGTAGGTTTAGGGTTGTGGGCTAGATGCGTCTCATATGTACGCGAAAACTGCGTATCATATGCACCAACACATTTCGTATCATATGCACACGAAAACTGCGTATTATATGCACGCCAAACACATGCGTATCATATGCACGCCAAAGTCCATTTTTGCGTATCAATACCACGAGTTTTCGTTTTTATTTGGCGTACTATTTATACGCATTTTCTGCCCTCCAAATGCCCAGAACGAGATGCTGGCGACGGCAAAGAGGGAATGCTCATGTGGAAATCATTATAATTCAGGTCAGTTATGATAAATTGCTAAATGGTGAAATAAAAATGTGTGTTTGTCTTTAAAGACCAGATGATTTCAGGTCACAAAATGTTTGGACCCAAAGAAACTATGTTAAAATGAATTAAACTGACGTTACAGTTAAATAAATAATACATTTTTAAAAAAGAATTGCTGTAAAGCCATATAAAGTGAGCAAATTTTAATGACATAACTAAAGAGTAAAAAGTACCAGAAAGCACTGCAATAAAATCCACTTTTTCAGAAAAATCTGAACATCTTTAAAATTAACTGTGAGTCAAACTTTAAGATATTACTTTTAAGATCATATATTTTAAACGTGTATTTTGATATGTGCATGCATTAGAATTTTTTTGTAAGTATATCTCACTAAATATATATTAGTATTTTTTTAAATAAAAAGCATTATCTTGCATATCTATAATATATACAATATTTGTGAAAAGGTGTGTAATAGGCTATTGTTTTTCATATAATTTATGTTAAACGTTTTTTTCTTTCATTGGCCATTTTTTAAGTAAAAAAACTTTTTTTTTTTTAAATAACAGCCTTTTTGTGTCAGTATATACATGTATTTTAGAATGCATTTAAAAATATGTAAATGCATAAACAAGCACAATTTTGACACTTCTTCACTCTCTGTAAATGACCCAGTTCCTCTAGTATTTGAATGAGGAAGGTAGACCAACCCAGATAAAGATGACAAAAGGCCTCCTTTCATGAAGCGAGACGAACCCTGTCAGAGCTCATAATTAACCTCCTTTATGAAGACCCCCGTCATCAGTGAAAAGTTCATAATGGAGGAGGAGATTTAATTACCTTTCTTTTGCAGCCCAAGTTCCAGACACTGAGGAAACATGTAATGGCCTTGGGTCTGGGCTTCACTGACCTCCTCTATTAATAACACATATATGTCTTCAGATCACAGACTTCACTTCGGTGTATTCAGGAAATGATTAGTTAATTGTCTTTGTAAAATGAATGAACACAGAGGTCATTTCAGCAGCTAATTCTGGATTCTGAAGTGATGACTTATGAGTGGTCATGGAATAAAATAGTATACTTTTCCATTTTTAACATTTGCTGGACTTTTAAGACAGATCTTTAAAAAACATTTGAACCATTCAGGTTGTGATGTTACATCCAAATAGGTGAAGACCTTTGAATCTTAAATTTGACCCTATAATTCTGAATGTTCTCTTTATATAACAGCATAAATTCAAACCGACAAGACCTTTATGCACCATGTACCTCTGGAATATTTCTTCTATTGCAAAGTGTATACCCTTCTCATAATGCTTAAAACTATTCTTTAAATAAACAATAATGTTGTTGTTATGCTTTATTATTATTATATGTTTTATTAATTATGGCAAGCTATTAACGTGTTAATAATAATAATTATCCCTTTATTAGTCCCTTAAGTAATGTATGAATATATGTATAGGTTAAACATGTTATTTTATTAGAAAATAACTGTGCAGAACAAATGCTTAACAACATAGAAACTGTTCACAGAATGAGGGGAAAAGGTAGATGTTTATAATGAATAAGATACTATAAGTATTTTTAAGATACGTAAGTGTTGTTAATAATACTTAAGACATGTTTCAGTGCTAAACAAGAACAGGAACTGGGAAAAAAAACTGATTCCTGTGAAAAATTCACTGTAATTGCCCGCAGCTTTCAAAAATGTTCTGTGTGAGCAAATCTTGTTTTCTTTATTCTTTACACACAATCCCAGTTTCACAAGTCCACATATCTTGGTTTTGATTTCTGTAGTGGATATAAGGATGCAAAGTTTCTGATTAATTTATTTGTTCAAATATGAACCTGTGTAATTCAAATAGAAACACATATACACATACAAAACGACAAGAAGAAATCAAAAAAATAGACTGGCAGGGGGTTTTTTTCTTCATGTGTTAAGTGTGCAGAAGCATGAAGTAAAAAAAACCTTACCCTCAGCCCAATGCAAAACAAAGACAGAGCCTGTGTTTGCAAAACTACACTGCTATACTACACTTACTATTGCTGCAGTATATAATATGTAGCCTACAGTATATTTTGCACAATATGTAATTTTCCTGTATGCATGGAATATCTGGATGGCTTACAACAGAGCACACTGCACATAATACTGTGCAATGCAACAATTTGACCTTCAATTTTATGTTATAAATGAACCTGAAGTAATGTCAGCAATTGTCTTATTTACTCATGATTTGATCAGATAGCTAAATGCAAATGCATTTTATTTATACTGTTGCACATACTACCAAAAATGTTAGGTAGTTTACCTAATGGTACACGATGGGTAGTGTAGGCAGTGTATACTGCACATGTTCACGACGAACATATCCTGTATAATACTGCTCTCTGCTGGTGAAATTCCAGTTTGCAGCAACAAGAAAGAGCATGTTTAAAGGGATAGTTCAGCCAAAAATGACATCATTAACTCACCATCAATTTGTCTCAAATTTGTATGAATTTCTTTCTTCTGTTCAACACAAACAAGATATTCTGAAGAATGTCCAAACAGATGTTAGTAACCACTGACTTCCATATGTAAAAACAATGGCTACTAGCAACTGTCTGGGTTTTATACAAAAATGTTTGCTGTTTAGTCTGTCTCTTAACCCTTAAATGCATACATCTCCCTCCTTCATTTTTTTAAGTTAGACATCAACTTTCTTTGTATTCCTCAATCTATTAATTATAAACAATATAACAAGAAAAAAACAGTAAAATATAAAAGAATGCCTGTTTTCTGATTACTTTTTTGTAAAAAGTGTATAGGGTGGCTAGAGGTATGTAAAGTATTTTTTTCCTGCGCAACTATATTTACATATCTGATGACTCAATATGTGCAATGCATCTTTTTTTCCTCGAGGTGGCACTGTTTGATACACAATGATTTCACTCATAATTACCGCAGGCATTAAACAAACAAATATCATCAGCAAAAATTGAAGTGAAGTGGTTTGAATGGCTTTACTGCAGAGCAATTACTATACGCAATGAAATATAAATGTCACTGTCATTTGATGCTGGATGTGGTGAATAAGCTGCCAGTTATCAAAATATTGAATATGAAGTCATTGAAAACGATAGTTTTGAGAATGTCAAAGAAACCTGGGATATGAGGCAGATGCTCAATGTATTGTGTAAGTGCGCTCTGACGATGACAGCGATGGTAAAATAATCTGCTCAAATTGAACCCTTTTAAGTTTCAAAAGGTAACGAAATATGCTTTATTTTATTCTTCTGTAATTGTTCTTAAAATATCAAGATAGTTTTTTGCTATTGCAGCAGTTAGAGATCCATCCGTGCTGGATATATAGGTCCGGGTCGCTAAATATCCGAATATGTAATAATGATTGGTGAAACATTCATGCATTTAAGGGTTAAAATAAATAATAATAATAATAATCATGATGATGATAATAATAATAACAAAAAAATAAAAACATGTATGCACAATTAACTCCTGTGTAATGTAAGTGAGTTTATTCCTCCAAGAGGCGCTTGGCGCATCTGCACAATCCTCCATTGAGTCACATTCAAATACAAAATACAGTAAGACACAACTTTTTTTTTGGTCTTACATTTATGTTCAAAAAAGTATAATCGTTTTAATGAATGAATCCCCAAATTTGGTATTTTACATACAATGGAAATCCACAGCAATCACAATATGGCAAGCCGGGTTAACATGTAATAAA